ACCCTTCTCGTCACCGACGCGCTGCCACGTGTGCGCCAACCATTTTGCTGAAACATAATGTAACTCGGAACGATGTTAAAATATGGCGCGGCCTTGGAATTACACGCGCGCCCCCGCGTGTATTAGAGTTGCTTGCACTCTCTTTCTCTCTCTCTCTCTCTCTCTCTCTTTCTCTCTTTTTTTTTTCCTTGTCTTTCCGATTCCTCTTATCGAGAATAAATTCTAGCAGTTTTGCCGGGCACGATTGAATGCCGTGGACGGCGTGACGATCGGAATAAAGAACAAAAGGGAAAACGCGACGTCGGTCATCGTGGCGGTTCAACGTTTCCCTTTTTTTTCTCGCGCTCCAATGCATGCCACACGCGCGACAGAATTTGCCGGCGTATTTCCACGAGAGGCAACTTAGTGTTATCAAATAGCGAGAAAACAAGCTACACATTTTGCGTCAGACTTGTCGCGTCAGCGAGAAGCCACGATAAAACGAGCGATCACCGATCCATTTTTAAACATTCGTGTTTTTCTATCTCCAACACAATACCCCAGGGACATTGTCGGTAAACATACGTAGTTGATAAACAAATTACAAAAGGGATGTTATGTATCGTCGACGATGCTTAAAAATACGATTATTATAATGTTGTTATTATTATAATAATCTCTCTGTTCTTTTGTTATTACATTAAATATTATCTTGAGTGTTTCAACTTGTAAGAAGTATTTTCTCCGCTTAATCAAGTGTTTCAAAATATACGACGCATGTTAAATGCAAGACGTTAGTAAACTTTATAAACAGCTTTCGAAATTCATTTAACAATTACGCGCTCAAAGAGAAAAGAAATTGGATTTGTCACCCTTTCCGTTTCAGACGCGGTCGCCGCCACTTGAAAATGTCATGCGTTCACGTTTGAATATTTATAACAGAGACCGCGAGTATATTTGTCATATCGAATCTCTCGTCCGGTAAACTCGTTGCGAGAAAACTCTATTACAACGTTGTCTTTATTTATATGTTATTAAAACTTATGGCAACTTCTGCTCTCCTTTTCGTATTCTTCGTTTACTAAGAAACTGTCACGCTTCATGTTGTTCTGCGCGTCACCAGTATTCCAAGAGAGGTTGTTCACTCTAAAAATTAATTTACATGTATATCTGCGTCGTTGCACGTAAAAAAAAATTGTTTTTTTTTTTTTCACAAAGTTCTATTGTAACGATACAACTATTTAATGTTTCAAAACTTCTTTTTCGTACATTCTGTACATTTTTTTAACTCCCATAGCTTAACGTGAGAATAAGAAATAAACATTTCACACGATGTCATATCCGATTTCACATTTATTTCATCATCTTAATATACGACGAGATCACATTACAATAACGTCAAGTTAATTTATTTTCTCAAGTTTTAATGTCGCTAAGTGTTTGTTTCATTTGTTTACACACGTGTCATAGCACTTCGGGTTTAGTTCGCATAGATAAGACATTTCTTCGCGCAACAGCGCCACGTCGGTAATGTCCAACTGTTTGAACTTTGAGAAATGATTCGAGCATAATGCAAATTATATAAAAAAAAATTCACGAAATTACCAGCTGGTTTTTATTCCGTGCGTCACTTTCGCGCGCAAAACACAACGAGAGATACACACGAAGCGCTTTACTCGGTTTGCGAACTACTGACCACCACTCGCAGTTGCATCCGCTGCACGAGATGCATTCACACACACTCATACATGTGTGTATGTGTGTGTGTATATGCTGTGCCATTTCGTCGCACCACGCCAACGAGCGCGCCAAGTTTCCCCACCGACCGGGCGAACGACGGCGCAATTGGATGTTCAAACCCGTTTGGTTCACTTTTGGCTACACGCGATTGTGTGTGCTCTCACGAATGCTCGTCTTTTGCGATGCGCATCGCAAAACAATTCGTAAACGTTAACAATAATTCACTTGTAAATGAAAACACAATAAATTCTACGACTCTAATTGAAAAAGTTCGAATTGTTGACAAAATCACTTGTTTACAAATTTTCTCTATCGCACGCGTGTTTTTTTTCAACTGAAACGCAGAGTGGTTTCGCAACGACTAGTGGACCTATCTCACCCTTTACTTTGTGCTCTTCGAATAAATTCTCTCATATGCCTCTCTCTCATTCCCGCCCCATCTTCCGTCCCATGAATCTCTCAAGACTTGAACAAAGGGCCCAAATAAATACAAATAGCGCTTTCGAACAATGGCTGCCTATGCAGGCCTCTGCCAATGGCGTTGTCTATCTATGCTCTTCCTTCTCTCGTCTCATTTGTCTTTCACGTTTGCACATCCGCGTTTGAGAGAATGAACGAGAGAGTGAACGTGCGAGAGCGAGAGAGAGAGAGACTTTTCGAGTACAATATGCGTGCAAAACGGAGTGTGTGTCGGGCAGGATAGGTCTCCACACTATAATTGGCTTTGCCTCGGCGTATTGGCTTTTTATATTATGCTATCGCGCGCATTAGCATACTCGCCTGAAGATCTCTTTCGTCACGTGCATAATCGATAGGAATATCATCGCGAAGGGACGAATAAAGAGAGAGAGAGAGAAAGAGAGAGAGAGAGAGAGAGAGAGAGAGAGAGAGAGAGAAAAAGAGAGAAATGCCCCTGCTGCAGTTTTGCGACAAAAAATTAAAAATCATCAAGATTCTTTTAATTGACATCTGTGATCGAATTCATAATTCCAGTGACTTACTTTATTTTTGTTGCGGTGACTTTCAATATCTCTTTTATAGGAGCGATTGTACTTGAAAAAAGACTTTAGTTTCTCAAGTACACATAAATAACAAATAAAAGTACACATAAATAACAAATAAAAAAGAGATTATGAGTAAAGAGCATAAAAATAATTGTATCTACACCACTTAGAAGTGACGTTAAAGAACATAAAAAGATATAAATAATATAAAAGATACATACAGTCGCGATTTCAAGCTTCGTCCTTAAACAAAACAAGTTTTTAACAACTGTATTCGTTTTATTCGATGCAAATTTTAGATAATAGTTCGCGTAATGTAGTTCCGTTTTACGTCAATCGAGCTCGCGAAACCTAACGAGGGCGAATTTCCACCGCGCTTTTGTTTTTCCCCACGCGACATTTTTTTCCTTCTCTTTAATGCAGATTAGATACGGGTATGGGATTACAGTTCCAGGGACGGCTGCACTTTTGCCAGTTAGGGCTGGTTTTGAATAATTCCCTTAGAACCCACTGACACGGTGTCACCTGGATGAATGAAATGCGAACGACCGTGAGAAAGACGAGAAAATCGCAAAGAGAGTCCGCGCGTTAGAACAATATTTACGTTTACGACGCTATGTATGTGTTGTGTATAACTCGAATGACGGAAACCACTTTTTAATGAAAGAATTTCAAATGAATTAACTTGGAGATATCTCATCGTCGCGTATCCAGTACCTTAGAAATTTCAACAAGTAACTTCGATATTCTTCGAGAAGTTCGCACCTTCGGAAAAAGCCGCGACTGATCCTGTAATTCGTATACTTATTACTGTTTTGTGTTCTCAGCTCGTAAAAGAATTCACTATCCGTCTGATATCGTACGTCTCTCGAGAGACGCGAGAGCAAATAAGCGGAGGTGTTACATTACGAAAGGCGAGAGCGCCGTTGTAAAATTTCCGGGCGGGACGGAAGGTCGCTCCCAGTTTTAATTCGAGGTCAATGGCGCTCGAGGGAGACTTAAAACTCGGGCGAGAGTGCGCGCGGATGGGTCTGTTGACCCCTAAGATTTTTTACTCGGCCGTAGGATGAAATCGGACTACCCTGTCATTAGCATACAAAAGTCTCAGCTGTGTGGCCCGCACGGCGCGGCGGTTAACGACAATCATTACTTGAAAAGCTGGCGACTCGTGAACTCTGTCTTTCTCCTCTTCTCTTTCTCTCTCTCTCTCTCTTTCACCCTTGCGGTTTCTCAACGCTCGCCCCTTAATCGCGCAACCGCACTTCCGCATTCACTTTGCCCGTGTTTAATGCCCGAGCGTTATCCTTCATTGCCAACATTATCCTTAATCATCGGACACGTAGTTCGGACACATTTAACGCGCGCGTGTTTCTTTTATTCTTTTAAAATACTTCGAAAATGAGATAACAATGCAATGAATATTATATGTTAATTATATGAAGCTTCTCATATTAATATTCAAATTACAGTTTTCGTCGAAATAAATATATATATATCATACATATAAATATAATATATATTCATCCATCAACACTAAAAATAGTGAATTATTTACTTAATAAAAATTCAGATTGCGAGCGGGCCGTTTGAGCGTCGCGTTTTCCGCTTCCGTCAATTCGGTTTGAAACCGGCGTGTGCAAAAAAAGCCCTTCTATCCATGACCATTCCAAAGCTCGCTGTGTCATGTGTTCACAATAGACGCGTCTTGAGAGCAGCCATGAAACGTCGTCGTGGGAGAAGGAAGACGTTTATTTTCATTTTTTTTTTTTTTTTTTGGGTAGTCCCGTGTTTTTGTCTCCCGCCGGCGGCTGAAAGGGTTGCGCGGAGAGGAAGAGAAGAACGGGGAAGAAAACGAGAGACGCGCAAAAGCGGGAGAGGAGAGAGACCGGAAAAAGAAGGAAGTTGTTGAGACGTGTGGGAAACCGGTCCGAGGTATGCAAATCCGAGACTCGTGGAACGAAGGCTCTCTTCGTGGATTGGTATAGGGTGAAGGAGAGCAGGGGCTACTTTGGCAGCGAAAAAACCTGGCAACCTTTATGTCGACATTGTACCCGCGTCCCACAGTGGACCAGTGGCACCGATCTTATGCAAATCGCCACCGCGCGATTGCACTCGCCACACATTGTCTCTCTTTCTCTTCTCATCTTTCCCGTATCTGCCCCGCGTATCTTTAAGTCTCTCTGCGAGAGAACCGCGAGAAACGCTTCAAATAATACAAGCTGTATCTCTGAAACAGCTGCTGCGGAGTTCGATCACAATTGCAATTGTGAGGAAGTTACATGTTTATTACATATAGATTATTACATATAGATTATACATGTTACAATGATTACAGTTTTACATTTAGTGAAATGTAAGTAATAACACAAGTTGATATATTACGTCGCCTTATATTGACGTAGCATTAACGTGATTTTAGTTCAATAAAAAATTTGCTCGACTGTTGCGTGCACAATATTCTACGTTGAATATAAATTGAATAAACAATCGATGCACAAGTAAAATAGCGTATAATTAATTACATACAGAGTGTATGTATATTTTCGTTGTTTTAAAAAAAACTGGGTTTTATTTTTATTTGACAAAAAAATGCTTGCCGTATATATATATATATATATATATATATAGACATAAAACTTATTGTTGTTGTTCATCTTGCTGATAAACTAACTTAATATCTATTTCCGATCCCAGTCGTTCGCGAAGTTGGTCGAGAACATCCACTTGAATTTGATCGACATTTTCCGAAGGAGTGTAATCATCCTCGCTGGATCTATAAAACAATTATATAATAGTTAAAAAAGAAGAAAGAAGAGACAACAAAATTGTTGTTTCTGATTGTTTAAGTTGATTGCTGTTTGACAAAGGCGTAAGAAAAACTGGAAGTACAAATTGTCTAGAATAAACATTCGAAGATTCGTATATCTTGTAGGAAACTCGTGTGCGCTGAAGCGAAGGTTGAAAACGGCAAGAGAGGTGGAAAAGCATGTGAATGATAAAATCGATTTTTTTTAGTCGGAAGTTTGAGCAGAATCTCCATGTATCTGTCACGAGATGGCACCAAGCTACCACTTACGGATTTCCTTCAAAATTCGTTGCTCTACATTTTTTTTATAAGTAGAAGATGCGCGTGACTGTATATTATAAAATTTATACTATATTTAAATATACAATTCTAATGTATGTTTATAATAAAAATAAATAATTTTTTATAGATAACATACGCAAAATATATCTTTTTTTTCTGCTGATTTAATACGTGTGTGTATAAAAATTATACGTGACACTAAATTCAACGAAATATTTTAAACTTTTTTTAATTATCGTACTTTGCCAATATTTTAGAATGTAATGTCGGAACAAAGAAACAAAAACAAAATACAATGTTCAGTTCGAGAAATTGAAAGCAGAGACATCTAACTGTGATACGCGAAAACTGAACGGTTTGATTTTGTACATCTGTGTGCGAAACTCATCTTCCCTATCCGGAAGGTGGGGCTTAACGGTAATACCCACGATCGTGAACCCACCCCTCGGACAGCCCCGCCATATACAACCCTGTGAGCGGTCTTTCTTCGCGATTGTACACTCTTCCAGCATCTCTTCTTCCGCACCGCCTGCGGTATTGCGGACTTCTCGGTTTTGCGTATGTAAAATCCGAGATAACAATTTTCAGTAGTAAGAATTGCAAATTGCGAACCAGTATTTGTGCGATTTATACGCTTAACTATCGATATTATCTGTCATCTCAATATCGATACAGAGTTTCTATTTTTATATAAAAAAGTAAATATTGTACATATATTTATATTTTTTGTAACTATTCTAATATAAAATAATTTTGTAACAAGAATTACTGAGAATTTATTTTGATTTATTTGAATTTGAATTGTTGAAGTGAGATTTATACCTAGCTATGGTGACAATGGTCGGAGGCGTGGGTAGAGCTGCCAGAAATAATCTGAATGTTCCGTTGATCAAACGATCGAGATCGTTCGGTTCCGTTACGTGCTCGGGTAAAACTGTATCGTCTATGGTGCAGCCTGCGTTGTACACTTGAATCCAATCGATCTCCGAGTCTTTGTAAATACTCGTCACTTCTTGATGAAGACGATCTACCGTTTCGTATCTGAAAAAAGAGAGAACACGTTCGTGTGATATTCTGTCACAAATCGAGCAAGATTTGTTAGCGTAAACAAAGATAAATGTTTTAATGACAGAAATAATTCTATCGGATCAAAGAGACGAATGGCATGACAGAGAACAAACATGAACAATAGAGAGTTTATAATGCCTCAACGATAGCACGTGGCCGCGAAAGTGAGGTATTTTCTGAGAGCACGCGACGTAAGTTATCACGGCCACGAGAACACGTTTTAAAGTTGCTCGTAATTTGTACTTTTCATCCGTAAATTTTTGCGCCGTTCCTCCGCGCACCGAGCGCTCTTTATCTCTCCCTTCAACTTCCCTCTCTTATACCGCCTTCTGCTTTTACTTTTTATCTGATCATAAGTTTTCCTTCTTTTCTGCAGCTGCAATTTCTGACACGACACGATCGAAAGATACGTCCGCTGACAAGCAAATCAATGATCATTTGGTTTTTAATTTTTAGATAAACTACCGATTAACGCAATTTTTTCTTTTTAAAAATGAGGTACGATATATTCGTTAAAAAAACTTGTTAGAAATGAAAAATTTATTGCAAGTCAAAAGATTAAGAGAAGATCAAGTGATAAAAATTCATTAAAAATACGAAAACTTGAGTAGTTTACGCTTATCGATACAGACTTCGATAAGGAGAATCAATGATGTGTCTTTTGCACGATACGAATCGTCTTGCGCGACCAACGTAAATTAGCCGACGCACGCAATGAAAGAAGAGGAGGCTCGCTTTCGGTATTAATAACGGAAACGCTCGCGGGTCCTCCGTTATTTCACCGCCTGATGTCGGCAACGTAATTTTCAAATTAAAGTAAACGGTCGCGGGATTAGATGATTTTGGTGATCAAACTTTTTTTCGTAATAGTTGTAATTTGCGAGAAGAGACTGTTTTTGTCTTTTTCTTCGTGTGAAGCGAAGAACCAGGTGTGCTAGTGTGCTGTCGCGACTCAATCGCTAATGCGTCAACTGTTTATATTCATGAAGAAGAGACTGTTGTCGATCCTTTTTCTTTTCTCTCTCTCTTCTTGCTTAATATTTAATTATTTTTCCGAAGGTAGCGCACCTGCTCCGAAAAGTCGCTTCCAGACCGAACACACGTGATCGCCCACTTTTTCGAATATATCACAGTTTTCTTGTGATTCCTACCGTAGATACTCCTGACAGTTGGATGACAATAACAATCTTGCAATCATCGATCTCGAAGGAAAACGATCTCTTGTGTTTTCGGTGCTAACTATACTACTTCGATCAAATGATATCTCAAACAATCATACGCTTCCGCGAAGAAGCAGCAATTTCTCTCTTGACTCTCTTAACTGTTATTTAAGTACTAATACGCATAACGTTGAGATGCATTATTCATTGCTCAATTTTCTGTTGCGCATATGAGCATCATTTCGGAAACTAAAACTTTTCATTAAAATCCTGAAAGGAATGTAGTATGATTGATAATGTTTAGGCATCGTTGACAGGTATAATTATGGATGAGTTATTGCACTCATCACCATCGGAATATATTGTAACGGCGCGAGTGTTTCGTGAACATTCAATCTCAAGAGGCGATTTTTCAAATCACGTCGTTAACGCGATCCATTAGAAGGAGTCTTGAGATTCGAGAAATCACCAGGTTCACAGACCTATGATTTCCTTCGCGTAATTCAAATTTAATGCCCGTAATTTGGAACACTTGAAAGTCGCAGGTAATTGTGAAATTTTTATCCTTTCGTTTTTTGAAGAAAGAAGCGCAGGTAAGTATATTATACTGGATGCATCATCAGATGCAACGTTAATGGCTCGTGTGTTTTGATATATTAATTATATGTGAAATTCGTAAAAACATATTAATTGTTTGGAACATTATCTTTGTGAAATTTATATACTTTCTCTTTATATTTCTTACTCGTCGTGGGAAAGCATCAGCGTTTATATACTGCTACTAGATGTTTCATCAAGATCTAAAATAAAAAAGCTCAAAACGGGAACAGTCATACGAGACAAATAAAGATATGTCACATACTATATATATTGTACATGTAAAGTATTCTTTTTTAAAAATTTTATTTCGTTGATATATAGATTTTCGCGCGGAACAATCGCGAACGGCAAAGTATTATCCGCGCACTGTCACGGCTGCATATATATAGAATGACAAAAACGATCTCGAGATCTTTTTGGATTCTTTTTTTTGCACTTATAACCAGGAAGCAGATGTCACGAGAGACTAGCACCAACGCATTCGCCTCTATCTCGACGATTCATATTTTTCGACATGTGACCTACCGGTTTTGTTATTTTCCGCCACTCTTCTCTCTCTTCCTCCCTCCCCCCCCCCTCGCTCTCTCTCACTCTTTCTCTCTCCTTCTCTCGCAACACGAGCCACTACAAAGAGAGCACGAGAATCACAAGCGGGAGAAAAAGAGAAAAGAGAAAAAAAAGAGAGAGAAACGGAGGTAACACGAGGAAGAGGAAGCGAGATATTACTAGTCCACGCTGTCCTGACGAATGAGTTAACGGACAATGGCGGTCCAGGTTGAAAAAATAAAGGAAAGAGAGAGACTTTGAACGAAGGGAGGGGGCCCTCATTACGAAGGGCGCCCCCGGTGTTTGTCGATAAGGGGGCCTATATGCAAATGGCCGTCCGTCGCGCGACGAAAAGAAAAAGTTTCCCTCTCTCGTTAGTTGCTTCTCTCTCTCTCTCTCTCTTTCTCTTTCTCTTTCTCTCTCATCCCGTCACTCTCGCATTTTTTCTCTCTATCTGTGTGTTTCGATGCTACTTCTCTTACTGTAGGAATAATGCCCTCTGACAGTACGCTAAAGCAGGAACACAGACACGAAAAGGACGGAGAGAGGGGAGAAGGTAGAGGGTATAATGTATCGTAATCAGATGATCAATTATTAAGAGCACGGCAAAAAAACAACAAGGGTTGACGTACGAGCGACAGGAACGCACACGAACGCGAGGGGTCTTGAGTCTGTGTGTATGAGATTTCCATCAGATTCATCTCGGGATCTCTCAAAGCGACCCGATATTCGATATATAAAGGTTTTATTAGAAGCGAAAAATACTGCGACTTCGCACGCTGTTCTTTTTTATCGCTAAGAGCGCGTATCGTCAAAAGTTAATACTTGTCGAATACTTGTAATATACTTATGTTTGAACTATCGCCGTGAGATCATTAAATTAAATAAATTGAGTCTACGTAGATATTGTAAGAATAAACTGTTCAATGTCAAATAAAATTAAATGGACGTATTCGCATTGTGCAAAGAAATTGAAGCTGTTATATTTCGATTCTGTGTAAATCAAACTTGTATCGATGCAAAAGTTTGTTGAGGAAAATGCAATATCGAGTTACTAATCTACGACGGATATAAATCCAGCTGTGTTCACGCGTACGATCGAAAGTTAACGTGTGTCTGAAATTTCCGTTGTCTTATCACATGCTCCGAAATATAAATATAATAAAACAGAGATTATTTGTAATTTCAATAGAAAAGTGGCAAATGCGTGTTTCTGAAAAAATGCTGTTCGACAGATTGCTCGAGTTACTCGTGTATGAAAAGCCTAAAATTGGATTTGTCGTTTAAATTATAGTTTTCACCTAATCCTGTTTTGTTCCTAGATCAACAGCATCCATTTGAAAGCTCGTATCATGCTGCTGGTGTCACGTGTGGATACCTGTTACAGAGACACGTGCCATTTGGAACACGATAATTTGGCGCATACTCGCAGGTAGAACAGAATGTGTTTGGGGCCGCGGCAGGTACACGTCTGCATCGAGAAGCAATCCTAAGGGACCGCCCTGTACCATCAATCAATAGATATTCATCCCCATCGAACGGCGCGGATGTATTGTCGATACTGCTAGGTGCATTCAATTGCACTGTGGGACAGGCAGGTTGCACTGTTGCCACTGATGTGCCGCGACGGAATTGAAAAGACCATTGACGTTGTGTCAAGCACAGGTCAGTCCTTTTTTGTTATGATTTGTCTTGCCTGCAATGCGATGATTCCCGTTCAAAAATGTATTAAAATGTATTATTTAATTTCGACAAGAGTGAAGGTATTTTATGTATTTTGATAAATATAATACACTTGAAAAAACGAATATAACAAACTTTGTCTAATGTTATTGAGAAATTAAAGAAGTCAATTCAATATGTACTGTGCATAATATCTGATAAGTCGATTTTTCTACGAAGTGTTTGTCATAGAACGTTACGTGTACGTCTTCATAAATAAAAATATATTTTGCACAAACATCCAGCACATTGGCTCACACAATCGAATTAATCTTTTCTAATTGCGATACTATGAACTGAGAAATTTGTGCTTCATAAATTTTAATTTAATTAAAATCTTTAGATAAATATTCGACACATGTACCCCATTATCTTAAATAACGGTTTTCCTCGTGATATTATGGCGCTTGGAAGCTTATAGCAAAGGATATTAGGCGACAGGACTTTAATTGTGAATTATTGATTTGTTCGCGCAAACGTTCGGGAGCTCACGTAACAGTTTCCCGGTCGAACCCTTCTCTGAGACGTCTAATTAATTAACGGTCACATTCGCGCATAATAATTAGTGAGTGCGTGCGAAGCCAAAAGATCGTCGGCATTGCAACTCGTTGGAGCATTGCGCGCACGACAACGGAGAGGTGAAAAGGGGAGAGATGGGAGTAAGACGATGGGGGTCGGTTTCACCGCGGTGCGTCACGCTGAGCGAAACTTTATATGTGTGTGTATGCGTTTCAGACTTAATTAGGTTACGCGGCGAAACCGGGACCAAGTTCACACACCTTATTAGAAATTCTAGTGACCCGTTTCGTTTTAATGCACATATCCTGTTCTCTATCCGCCAGTTTTCTTCTCAGATCACGCCCCTTTCCTCGCGCATTAATCTCCTCGTTCGAGTTTCGCGTGTTTCTTAGTTTTATTCACGTAAACTTCTAATACTATTCGCGA